AGGGGGTGGGAGGGGTGGAGCCCCCGAGTGGTGAGGTCAGGGGAGCGGTCCTGAGAGGAGGGGGTGGGGTAGGAGGGGTGGTGAAGGTGGAAGGGCTTCCCGTAGTGAGGTTAGAGTGAGGGAAGGTTCCTGTGGGGAAATGAAGAGGTGTGGGGCCCTAAATAGTGACATTTTGGTGAGGGGGTTCCCTGAGTAGTGAACCGGGGTGAAATGAGGTCCCTGCAGAAAAATGATGGGTTGTGGGGCCACTGAGCACTGAAATTGGAGTTGGGGGGAGTCCCTGAGTAGCGAATCCTGGGTGATGGTTGAGGGGAGGGTTCCTGAGAGGAGAGGATGGGTCAGGTGTCCCTAGGAGTGAAATCAGAAGTTGGGGGGGGGGGGGTGTCCCTGAATAGGGAGGTGGAGGGAGGGGGTCCTTGCATACCCTGAGCAGGTGAGCGAGGCCCCTGGGAGTGAGGAAGGGCGAGGAAGTCCATTGAAGACCAGGAAACGGGAAAGAGATGCCTGAGAGATGAGGATGTGGGAGGGATCCCTGAGCTGAGAGTAAGTAGGGGGAAGGCTCCCTGAGGGAATTTGGGGGAAAGGAAGCCTGAGAAAATCCTAGTTGGGGGGTGAAGTCCCTGAAGCTGGGGAGACTGGTGAGGAGGTCCAGAGGAGGCTGGGGAAGCAGGGAGTTCGGAGAATTTGGAGGGGCAGGGTTGTGGGGGCAGTAGGAGATATCTAGGGAAGAAGTGGGGACCCTGCTGGGACCTCTGACAGCAGATGAGCAGAGATTCTGGTCTAATGGGTTAGCAAAGCCTTGAGGGGCTGGAGAAGTGCTAGAGGCTTGAGGCAGCTGAGGGAAGCAGGAGGATCTGTGGAGAAGGGGACAGGGAAGGGAAGATCCCTGGGTGGTGGGATGACAGGACGGCAGGATCTTGTTGTGGGAAGTCACACCAGGGAGACTGCTTGACCCCTGAAGTCCCTCTGGCCTCCCGCTCCTGTTCTGCATGGTGGAGCAGAGCAGCACAGCCCAGAGGCCGCGGCCAGGGGCACTTTACTGTGCTTGTGGTGTGACTCCCATGAAACCAGGTGTGATCCCTTTCTGTGTGCATGGGGTGAATGGTGTGTTTAGTGCCTCTCAGGGGACGAGGCCTTCTGCAGCCTGGGTGAGGGGTAAGGTGAGGGTGAAGGTAAGGACGCGAGTCTTGATGTATATGTGTGTGAGTTGACATCTTTCTCTGTGTCCAAGCGCATAGCTCAATGTGGGGACGTGTTCCTTATAGTAAAAAATGCACTCCTCTTCTTTTAAGACAGCTCTTTCTTCATCATGTCTCGCTCTCTCTCTCTCTCTCTCTCTCTCTTTTTTTTAATGTGGTGTCTGATTTCCATCCCTTCAAGAATTCCCCCAGTAGAGGAAGCCAGCCATTGGGATTACAGGGTTTTTTATAACCACAGTTGAGTTGCCATTAAATTTAAAATGGATTAATCAGCTGACTCCAGAATGCATTTTGGATGTCATAAGGCAGTGCTGGAGACCTTCCAGAGTTTGGCCTCAAAAGTTGTCTCTCGACCCTCCAGTGAAGGAACCGTGTCACAGTCATTCATTCCTCTGCTTCTCTCTTCCGTCCCTCAGAGTCCTTCTCATTCCTTCTTCATTGAGGTCTTGGTTCACCAGGCGTCCAGTGAACACCTGCTGGGCCCCGGTCTTGGTTTAGGAGGACACTGTGATGAGCGAGGGCCATCAAGAACACAGACTGGCCCTGGCTGATTTGGCTCAGTGAATGGAGTGTCGGTCTGGGGACTGAAGGGTCCCAGGTTCAGTTCCAGTCAGGGGCACATGCGTGGGTTGCAGGCTCAATCCCCAGTAAGGGGCGTGTGCAAAAGGCAGCCAATCAATGATTCTCTCTCATCATTGATGTTTCTCCCTCCCTCTCCCTTCCTCTCTGAAATCAATAAAAATACTTTTTTTTTAATTAAAAAAAAATAGAACACAGACCGTGTAATCAGGAAGCATACAGGTTTGATTCCAGACACTGCCACTTGCTAGAGTTGTGACTTTGGGGCTAGTTACTTAACCTCCCTGGGCCTGTTCCCTCAGCATAGGCTGGGTCTACAAGAGACCCCGCCTCCCAGGAGGATTGAGAGAATTCAACAAGATAGTGTGATGGTGTTTATAAAGCTCTGGTTTACTTGCTCAGCAAATGACACCTGCCTTCCAGCCACCTCTCTGCAGCACCAGCTCAGGTGGCATTGCCCAGTGGCAGGTTATCTTGTTCCTGGCCTGTGTGCCCCTTTGCTCAAACCTCTTTAAGTTGTAAGTGAATCATAGTCATTTGGGGATTGATATTCATGAATTTGTTTATATTTGTTGCACATTGCAAAATATGTTTTGATGGGTTAGACCAAATGTATTAAAGTTAATTTCACTTGATATATATTTTTAATGTGCTTATAAATTTTAAATTGCACATGTTGTTTACATTCTGTGTTTGGACGGCACTGGGTTGGTTCTTGTGTGCATCGTGCTAAAGTCTACCTGCCTGTTACAAGGAGCTGCTTTTTACCCCAAGGCATTAGTGAAAATAGCTAATCCTCAATTTTTTTAAAAAAAATTCCTTGAATCACCCAATCAAGTGCAATGTACAGGTGGGTTTTTTAATAACCGGCCCAGAAATGTGTGTGGGTATAAATGCCTAATGTTTACAGTGTGCTTGGGGTATAATAAGAGTGTGCTGGTTGAGTGGAATGCCCTGGAATTATCTGCACTATTTAAATCAGTCCGCTCTCCATGTAGATTACAGCTTCTATCTTCTGCCCATTGGTTCTTGCTCTTTGCTCTAAGGCCACTAAAAAGGAGTTTGCTCTTCCATCCTCATGAAGACAGACATCCTGGTCTGGGCCTTCACTCCCCTGGTGCCCAGTCGTGTCTCCCCAGTTCCATGTCTCCCTCCAGAGAGGTAGCGGATGCTTGCATCAGGAAGGAGGACTCCTGAATCTGATTACAGGGCCATTGAACCAGAGCTGGTCCTCCAGGTCCTGAGGTCTCCTAACCTTTGTGAGCAGAGAGAGAGGCAGTGGCCTCAGTTCTCCAGGAGCCAGCTTTCTCTTCTGGTCAGCTGTGTGTATGCAGGTCTTCTTTCTCTTCTGCTAGATCATCAGCCCCTCAAGCCCAAGAATCAGATCTGATTCATCTCTGCATCCTCCTGGTTGCAAACCCAGGACCTGGCCACAGGTACCCTCAGCTCAGGTTGAGTCATTTGGGCAGCTTGCACCCTCTTCACTAATCCTTGCCGTTGGGTCTCTGCAGAGCAAACTTGGTGGACCTCCAGAAGAAGCTAGAGGAACTAGAGCTTGATGAGCAGCAGAAGAAGCGGTTAGAAGCCTTCCTCACCCAAAAGGCCAAGGTTGGGGAGCTCAAGGATGATGACTTCGAACGGATCTCAGAGCTGGGAGCCGGGAACGGCGGGGTGGTCACCAAGGTCCAGCACAGACCTTCAGGCCTCATCATGGCAAGAAAGGTGAGAGGTGGCCAGTGGCAAGGCAGGTGTTCTGTACCTATGCTCTGTGGGTGACATGGGGTGGGAGCAGGTCCCCGGGAAGAGGAGAGCAGTTTGAAAGATGCCGGCCTCTGTCTTCTGCTGGCTCCTGTGCTCAGAAGCCCTCCCATCAGCGGTAGGTTCTCATTCCTGAAGAAGAGTTCAGCTTCCAGTTAGAATGCGGCAATGCTGGCTTTCCTCAAGCAACTCTTCCTCTCTATTATTGACCTTTGCCTTCGGGGCGGCTTCAATTCAGATTCCCAGAAAGCTGAGGGAGTTTCAGGAAGAAAGGATGAGATTTAAATCCCCTTAGAGCTGGCATCACCCTGATTTCACAACCAGGAGAAAACACTGCAGACCCAAGACAGGGCCTGTGCTGCGATGGTCCCTGGGCTATGGGGTAACTAAACCACCTGTGTTAGTCCGAGTTCTCCAGAGAATCAGAAGCACGAGCATGTCACAGCTTAAGTCTGGAGGCAGAATTCCCTCTTCTTTGGGGGACCTCAGTCTTTTCTCTTCGGGCCTTCAGCTGATTGGATGAGGCTGCCCACTTGTGGGGGTGTTGTCTGCTTTTCTCAAAGTTAGGTGATTTCCATGTTAAATCACATCTGAAAAATACCTTCACAGTGACATCTGGACTGGTGTTTGACCAGACAGCTGGATACTGTGGACACATTAAATGAACCATCACCCCACCCTTAGTACATACCTTGGCTCTGAGAAGTCCTGAGCCTCCCTCCTCTAGGCTTCTGTGCCACGGTACAGCCTCCCATTAAACATTCGGGAACAGCCCTGGGAGAATAAGGAGTGGACGAGAAGGATGTGACTGGGGACTGGCTTCCGAACACATAACTGCGGGGGCTTCATGCTGAGCGGTTGTTTCACTCACACAGTCGTGTTTTTTCAGACATCGAAAGCCACCTATTTCTGGAAGCCCACTGTCTTGTCATTTCCAAATTGTACTGTCCAAAACCTGACCACCCCATGCCTGGTGGGCCGGAGCAGGTCCCGCCTTTCCTGGGAATGATGAGCTTGGTTTCCATGGGTTTTAGCTCTGTAGCTGTTCTCTTGCCTCTAGAGCACTGCCCTCCTCCTGCAGCCTATTTCTGTCCTGTTAGCACAGGCAGCCTTTTCAAAACCAGAGCAGCCCCAGAAATCTCTGGACTGCCATTGCCCGAAGCACCAGGAATAAAAGTCAGGTCTGAGGTTCAGGGAGGGGGGTGGGGAGAGAGACTTGAGAGCAGTGCTGGTCAGAGTTTGTATCAGGGACCCGGGGTTCTCTCAGGCCAGCTGAGGAATCTTCCAGGTGTTCCCAACAAGCCTTGTATAGACGTGAATCTGGGAGTTTGTCTACAGCAGCAGTTCTAGAACCCCTTTGGGGGTCAAACAACCCTTCATAGGGGTCACCTAAGACCATCGGAAAACACATATATAATTACATATTGTTTTTGTGATTAATCACCATGCTTTAATTATGTTCAATTTGTAACAATGAAAAATACATCCTGCATATCAGATATTTACATTATGATTCATAATAGTAGCAACATTACAGTTATGAAGGAGCAACGAAAATAATTTTATGGTTGGGGTTCACCACAACATGAGGAACTGTATTAAAGGGTCGCGGCATTCGGAGGGGTGAGAACCACTGGACTAGAGCTTTATGAAAGCCTTTGAAGTAAGGTGTCAGGCTTTAAAACGGGGACAGAGAAGCTCTGAAGTTAAGTTGGCAGTGGTGCTGTCCCAATATCAGTTCCTGGTATGGTTCTTCATCATAAAAGATGTCACTGTCGGGGGAAGGGCGTGGGACTCTGCTGTTTTTGCAACTTCCCTCTGCTTCTTTAATTCTTTCAAAATAAAAAGTTGGGTTTTTTTTTAAAGATCCAATAAATGAGGGTCAGGACCTCAGATTTTGTTTCCTATAGATCTTAACCTCCTCCTCCCAGCAGCTGTCAGAACAGTGCAGGCAGTTGGCAAATATGTTGAACGAGAAGGCTGTCCACCTGGGTATTATGTGGTCGGGGGCTGTAACTCCTTATGGCCCAGGAGCCCTGGACCGCTCTGGGGGTCAGGGGCTCCTTTTAATCAATCCGGAATGCCAGTCCACCTGGGAGGTCTGTTGCTTTTATTCAGCTGAGGGCACAGATGGGAAAATTGGCAATACAAAACAGTTTTTAAGAAACAGTGGCCTCATTCCTTCCTCCACTACCCTGGTTGGAATTCCGAATTTCCCGGGAAGCCTGGTATGAATTCCACACATTCCAAGTGTGTAGGCTTATCAGATCTCCAAAGGCAGCCTGCCCGCAGGTGTGAGGGTGAGGGTTGGGTGGAGCTCCTGGACGCCCATACAGCTCCTGCTCTGTGGGCCAGCATCCCTCCGCTCCCTGTGATTGGCAGAGGATCATCCTAACCAGTAGGACGGGCTGGGGAAGCAACAAGACCAGTTCGGTAAGGCCCAAGAAAACCAGTCTCTCAATTTCTACAGTCAGGCTTGTTCATAAATTTTTTCTTGACCTATCATGGCTCACTAACTCCTGCATTCTTCTGAGGCCCTAGGAACGAAACCTGTGCGAGACCTGGGCCAGGGCAGCTCTTCGGAGAGTTTAGCATATTTGTTACGCAGCAGGGCTCTCTTGATCACCCTCTACTTGGAGCAAAGAAATGTGTACTTGCTTCCACAGTGAAGGTCATGTGACCCACCCAAGGCCACATAGTAATGCTAGCTGCCCTGTGTGAAAGCCAGTGTTAAAACCTTGACACGTGTTCTCATTTAAACGGAGTGACCTCTCCATTTTACAGGTGAGAAAACTGAGGCTAGTTTGGGTCTTAGCAGAATTGGATTGAACCTTCATGGCTGACCCTGACCCTGTTGGAAGCTGTCAGGGTTTTACCTCCAGAATCCATGTCCCTCTTTCCTAGCTCAGATCCCGTCCTGCAGTAGGCACTGCCTGAACTCCTAGACAGGCTGTGTTTGGTTTGAACTTCCAGCACTCTTCTGACTTAACCAGCAAGTGGGGCTGGGTTGGCCCCAGAAGGTTGCTGTGAAAGACGATGGGTTCTGGCAGTTCGTGAGCTCAGCCCCAATCCTGACCTGACTGCTCACCAGCTGGGTGTCTGTGGGAATGAAATTGAATGTTTCAGAACCTGAACTTGCTCATCAGTGCAGTGGGGGCAGTTACCCTGTCCCACCAGGGTTGTTATCAGGGTGAACTGTGTGCCCCACCCAGGGCTGTACCAAGGCGAATTGTGAGCACACGTGCCTTCCCATTCCTGCGCTTTCTCTGTACACCCTCAGTGCCCACTCCTGTTCAATCCGGAAGGTTTGCTTTACAAGACCCATTAAAACAGATCACGTAGCACAGCCCCTACATTCCCTCCCCCCCACTTTTTTTTTTTTTTACTACATTGCCTCTTTACAGTTTTCCCGAAATCCTCTCGCTTCCCGGGCCTTGTTTCACATTCACCCTACTCCAGGCTTCCAGGACCTCTGGGATCCTGTGCAGCTCTCAGTTTTGTCCACCCTTCCTCTTCTCTAAAGCCTGGTGGACTCTCGCGCCCCTCCCACTCATTCATCTGTGGCTCCTTTCAAGTTCTTAGTCAAGAGCCACTCTGGGTCAGATACAGCTGCTGAGCGCTTGAACTGTGGTCAGTTTCAGTTAAGATGTGCTACATGTGCAAAAAACACACACCAGATTTCAAGGGCTTGGTATGAAAAAAAAGTCATTAATATTTTTACATCCATCACATGTCAATTTTTTGATACATTACATTAAATTAAACAAAAGACATGAAAAATTCATTTCACCTGCTTTTTACTTCATTAATATGGCAGCTAATGGGTTTTTAAATTATGTGTGTGGCTTATGGTATATTTCTGTTGGACGGCCCGGGTCTCCATCATCCTGCGCTGCCTATGCATCAGCCTCCCATCTTCCACGCAAACATCAGAGCTTCATTTTCAGACCCAGGATCTCAACCCTTCAAAGTACATGTATGTGCATATGCTGGGCATCTCCCCGAGGATGCAGTCCCACCAAAGGAGAGAGCATACTGGAGTCCTGGTGTGGTTGTGGTCCTGGAGGTGGCCGTGGGGGTGTGCAGTGTCCCACGGAGGGTAGTTAGGCTGGGCTCTGCAGGCTAGGTGGGGTGGAGAACCAAATGCCTGAGGGGCCCTGGGGGCTGGAGGGTCCCAGTCAAGGAAGTACTGCCTGGCATGGTGGGGGCACCAGGCACCATGCTGCTAGGACCTGCCAGAGTACTCAAGGTCGCAAGGGTCATTGGCATGGGCCTGTGAGCAGGTGACACTTCCCACACATACCCTGTGACTCCCCCTCCCTCCCCTCCAACTTGGTACACACCCCTTCGTGCCTTGGTGTCCTCAAACAGGCAATTCTTTGTCTTTCTTTCTGGAACGCTGGCCCCAGTGTCACCTGAGCTCCAGATCACCTCTCCATGGTTCCTCCTTTGGGGCACCCCCACCTTTTGGGGTTATTTCACCTGCTTCTCTTCCCTCCCGATGGCATATCTCCTAGCCGAGCAGGGTCATCTTTGCTGTCTTTCTCCTCATCACTGACCTCTGTTGTAACCAACTTTATGTAAATATCTGAGTTGATGGCAATCACTTTCAGATACGTGTGATCTGCCTCTGCCCCTCTGGCCAAGGGGTATAAATCACACCTTTTTCTTAACTTACCACGATGGCTGAGCATCTAGGATTCTAAGTAGCCAGGACCTGGACCCACAGCCTTCACTCTGCATCTCTGGGCAGGGGATCTTGGCTTGCTTAGGGTTTGTAGTTCAGCATTGCTCTGGGTGTTTTGGCGGCTATCTTTTCTGCGTGTCTCCAGATGGTCCCTGGGCTTCTCACCTTTTGAAATGTAATGAGTTTGGTGACACTTGGCTGCTGGATTGAACTCAAGTGGAAGGGCGGCTAGGATCCTCAGGAGGTGACCAGAGGCTCTCTCTGCCTTTGCTCTACCTGGAGTTGGGAAGGGCTCCAGAGAAACCGGCCCCTGAATGAGGGGCTGAGCAGGGGTGAAGTAATCCCCTGCCCGGGCATTTCCTGACTTCACATGATTTGGTGGGAAGAGAGCTCCTCTTAACAGAGCTTCCCCTATAACCAATTGAAAAATGTTTGCTCTGTTGATGAGTTTTTTAAACAACTTTATTTGAGATGTAACTCACTTACTGGACAGTTTACCCTTGTAGAGTGTATAATTCAGTGTTTTTCAGTGTATTCACAACATTGCCACCACCGATTTTGGAGTATTTCTATCACCCCCAAAAGAAGCCCTAGCCCCAGGCCCTGGCAACCACCAGTCCAGTTCCTGTCTCTGGGTTTGCCTGTTTTGGGACATTTCACGTAAATGGAATCACACACTGTGTGGCCTTTAGTGTCTGGCTTCTCTCACTGAACATAGTGTTCTCAAGGTTGGTCTGTGTTGTACTGATCGTCAGTGCTTCACTCCTTTTCATGGTTGTATAATATTCCGGTGTGAGGGTGGACCACATTTTGTTTGTCCATTCACCAGTTGGTGAATACTTGGGGTGCGTCCGTGTATTAGCAATTGTGAATCACACTGCTATGAACACATGTACAAGTGTGTGCGTGGATCTGTGTTTTCAGTTCTCCTGGGTAGATCGATACCTAGGAGAGGGTGGCTGACGTCTTGAATGCTGTCGTGAGCACCTCAAGGGCAGAGGACTAAAGCTCCCCCCCCCCCCCCCCGACCCCGTGCCCCTCAGAAGCCTGCTTCTGAACCTGATTCCCATTCCCTTGCAGCTGATCCACCTGGAGATCAAGCCAGCCATCCGGAACCAGATCATCCGCGAGCTGCAGGTGCTGCATGAGTGCAACTCCCCGTACATTGTGGGCTTCTACGGGGCCTTCTACAGCGACGGGGAGATCAGCATCTGCATGGAGCACATGGTGAGCACGGCGGGGCACCTGGAACCGAGGGGCCCAGCCAGTGTCCCAGAGCCACCTGGGCTTGCAACCAGGGAGACATGGCAAGACAGAGGGTTCATGTAGAATGAGAGGGTGGCTGGTGAAGAGGAAGTCCCCTGCCTGTGTCCCTCAGGGCCCTGTCCCCAGAGGCTACGGTGCATCTCTTTCCAAGGAGATCGAGCGCCTATGTTCAGGTTCCTTCGTCTTTAAACGCCAGATGCCCTCCTCCCAACTTTCCTCTCTCACTGGGTACCAGGCAGAAATTATTTCCTGTCGGCACATAGAGCCGGCTCTTTTCCCCAGTCTAGTGTTCTGGCACCACATTGACCTGTCAGGTAATTTATTAAACTCTTGCTGGTGGACGCTGGGGTTGTTTCTGATCTCTGCCCATTTTGAATGATGCTGCCTTGGACGTTCTTGCACGGAAGCAAGCATCCCTGGGTGGTAAAGTCCTACCAGTGGAATATGGGGCCCAAGGGTACATGAGATTGGAAATGTGATCAGCGTTTCCAAAGAGTTGGGGGCTGTTTTAAAGACAGACCTGGTCTGCCCACAGCTCAGATCTGGATTAGAAACTCGGGTGGAGCCTGGGCACCAGTCGTTTTTTTTAAACCACCGCAGTAGCAGCGGCTGTGCCCCTAATTAAGAAACTTTGGTCTTGAAGTTCAGAAGTGGGTGGGATTGGGTGTAACGAAAGCAGAAGTGGTGAGAGCTGAAGGCCCTGGGGGGAAATGCCTCCGACCCTCTGGCAGCCCAGTTGAGCAGATACCAGACTGCCTGCTGCCCGGCTGGATGGGCTCAGGGCTGGCAGGGCCCTTGCAAAACCAGGGCGCAGTGTGGCTTTCGGCACATGGCCTGAGCAGCTTCAGTTATGCCGTGCAAATGTGCTGTCCCCTGACAGTTTTGTAATGAAGGCAGGAAACGAAATTGAGCAAGTGGCTGCAAGGAATGCATTGTGAGCAGCCTTCCTGGGTAACCGCTTGGAGGGGCACGCTTGGAGGGAGTGCCCGCCAGAAGATGCTCCCCACCCCCCTGCATCAAGATCCCCACCAGGCAGCACCCTGGAGGAGTCCCTTTTCTCACCTAGGAGAGGGAGATCATATCTGCCCGCCTGAGGGCAAAGTCACTGTGTAGACAAAAATCAAGGAGGGGAAAGGAAGGAAGTCACTTTATGATCTGAGGAGAGCCTCTATACTTAGCTCCTCCTCCTTCTTCCTCCCCCTCCCCGCCCTCCCTTCTCCCTGTCCTCCTCTTCTCTCCTCCCTCTCCAGTGCTCTTGACCACCCCTACCTGTTCTCCCTGAATATCATTAGAATTTGAAGCCACCTCATTCCCTTACAGCAAAGGGGGAGCGGCACAGTCTAGCACCCCTCCGCTCCCCCATCTATTCTTGGTGAATGGAAGACATTGGTTTCCAGCACTAGGCATCTGCACCCTAGCAGCACACAGTCCAAGCCACCAGGAGGCAGGAGGCGAGTGCTAGCCATTCTATTTATTTATTGTGCTTATCCTTTAAAAGTTTCTAGTTGGGTTTTTTGTTTGCTTTTATAATAAGAGACGAGGACAGTAGAAGAAATGAATAATGCCCACATGAAAGGACATGCCCAGGTGAGGTCCGCGCTTCCCGCTTTCTCCTTATGGGAGTTACGGTCTACTAATCTTGGAGGCCAGTGATTTTCAAGACTAAGATGAACCTTAAAGAGGGGACTTGGTGCCCTGGCTGGTGTGGCTCAATTGACTGAGTGTCACCCATGCATGGAAAGGTCACCAGTTGAATTCCTGGTCAGAGCACATACCCAGGTTGCGGCTGGATCCCTGGTAGTTGTGCAACCGGTCAATGTTTCTCACATCATTGTTTCTCTCTCTATCTCTCCCTTCCTCTCTCTCTCAAAAAAAAAATCAATAACATTTTAAAAAGAGAGAGAGGGGCTTGGTGAGGAAAGCATGGAGGGAGAGAGAGAGAAAAAACATTGATGTGAGAGAGAAACATCAGTCAGTTGCCTCCAATACATGCCCTGATTGGGGATTGAACCTGCAACCTGGATATGTGCTCTGACCAGGAATTGAACCCATGACCCTTCGGTGCATGGAACAATGCTCCAACCAACTGAGCCACACCAGCCAGGGCCCTTGACAGTATATTTATGTTGAATAAACCCCTCCAGAATCCGTCTGCACGTTCATAGGTTTTCCCCGTGTGGGGGACATTGCTGCTTTGTGCACCCATGTACCTTATTGTGGGATGCCCCACATAAGGGGTAGATGACTCCCTGGGGTCAGGCCTCAGCCCCACAGCCCACCTCTCAGCACATGACTCTGGAGGATTCTCACCCCTGCTTACCTGTCAAGCCAGGGCGGTGGTATTGCCTTTCCCTTGGCCCTCATCACATAGGACATTGAGTAAATATCACCATTGTCACTGGGGCCATTTCTCCATATTTCTCTGCCACCTTCATATCTCTCTCTCTCTCTCTCTCTCTCTCTCTCTAATTTATTGATTTGAAGGGCGGGGGGAGACAAACATCAATTTGTTGTTTCACTGATTTATGATTCATTGGTTGCTTCTTGTATGTGCCCTGACTGGGAATTGAATCTGCCACCTTGGTGTATCTGGACAACACGCTCACCAAATGAGCTACCAGACCAGAGTCTTCATTTCTCTTTTTTCACCATCATGACAGCCCACCTAGTCAATATCCTACATGTGGAACTGTTTCCTGAGGAGGGCGAGGTTTCATCTTCACTCAGGGTGGAGTTGGCACTAATTTCCCCTCAGGGAGGTTCCAGCTGCAGCTTTTAAGAAGAGAGCCCTAATGATAACAAAGCCCAGATGCCTCGCCTGGCCAGAGTGTGGGGGCCCTTGGGGCTTGGGGACAGTGGGACTGGCAGTTTCCAAGTGGCCTAAGTCTCATCTGGGGGAGATTCAGGCATGGACCCAGGGGACAGTGGGTATCTCAGGGTGGAGTAGCTGGGGAGCTGCTTACTACTCTAAGGCTCTAGTCGAACCCACTGAAGAAAGCACCCCCTCGTTCTGTAATAATAAAACATCAGGCACTCGTTGTCAGCAAAGGACAGAGAAGGGATGCCACCCGGCGCTCTGCAGTGAGAAACAAAGTCAGCCTGTGTGAATCCAGTCAGAACATCCCCAAGGAGGAAGAGATGTACGCCAGGAACCCGCTTACATTTGTGTCAAACTCTGTTTCCTTGTGCATATGGATGTGTGTGCACGTGTGCAGAGGATCTGGACTGTACGTCACACTGCTGGGGAGGCAGGTGGAATCACTGGGGGATCGGTGTTACTTATCTACATTTAAATTTTTATAAAAATGTGTATTCTTATACCACCACTTAATAAAAGTAAGATTTTAAGAACATTTAAAGCATACACACAAAATGAAACCATGGTCATGCATAGAGACAGGTTTAGGGGTCAAAACGACCTAGTTGTGACATCTGCACCACATCCTGTGCGTGTGACTTGAGCGAATGACTTACCCTCTTAGCTGTAGACCAGGGCATCTCACTCAGGGGACATTCTCACAATGAGGGAGATGCTGGCGAAGGGACGCTGCTCAGCACCCCACAGTGCCCACGACAGCCCCCAGAGGGAATGGCCAGGCCCTAGTGTTACCAGCGCTGAGGGGAGACCATGCAAGGACAGTGTCCTTCACACGGAGGACTTCTGAGTTAACTCCTGAGCCCCCAGCAGGATGCCTCACCATAGCCTCTCTGGAGATTCCTCCCTGAATGTTCTTATTCAGTGAACATATGCAACTCGATGAAAGTGCAGAATGGAGAAGGACCTGTGTTAGGGAACAGGGATTACAGTTTAAAAATTTTTTTAATTCTTTTAAGGTTGATTGATAAAACAAGAAATGAGAAGAATAGAAGGAATTTCCATCTTGCCCTGCAGGTAGAGCGGGGCGGGCCGGGCACCCTAGTCAGACCAGGCTCACCTGCTGCCTTCCTCAGCCACACCCACCCTCTACAAGTTTGGGTCCCTTACTTGTTGACAGAGTCACACATATTCTTGAAGCTTCAAACTATTTGGGTTTCCTAAAACTCCCCACAAACACAGCTGGGGTGCCAGAGGGGAGACCTGGGCACCTCCAAGGCTTCTCCCTGCCCCGGGTGAAGCAGAAGGTGTCCCAAGGAAGTGACTGTGGAGCTCCTAGAGCAGCGCAGTGGAGGAAGTGCAGGCCTGGGGCCACCCTGCCCTTAGTTCCACTCTGGATGCCGCGGAACCAAGGCAAGCCCCGGCCTGTGGTTGGAACTTAGCCATGTCACCTAAAGTCCTAGGGGGCCGCCAGGCATATGCTCAGAGCCCCACCTCTGAAGAGGCGCCCGGCCAGCGCCAGCAACACCCTGAGTTTTGGTTTCCAGATTTATTACCAGGCAGCCTTGCACAAGGCACCTGTTTCCTCATTGTCGGGTAGATTGGGGCCACGCCCAGGGCTGGGTCGGGATCAACTGGAAGGACCTGTGTCAGGTCCTTTACAGGACAATCCCATGTGTAACACAGTGAGCAGAGGACAAGACGAAAGGGAAGCAGCAGAGGTGTCATCCCTCTGTGCCCTAGGGCAGCAGGTCCCTTCCTAACTAGGCGGGGGAGGGGGCCGCAAGAGAGAGGCCAGTTGGTTTGGCCACCTTTCTCCTGTGCTGGACACTTGGAGGGCATCGCCTTTGCTCTCAGTCTCTGTCCTGCCTGGGCTGTGACAAGAACCCAGGCCCAGAAGGAGATGGGTCTAGCTCAGCCGTGGGCAAACTACGGCCTGCGGGCCGGATGTGGCCCATTTGAAATGAATAAAACTATTGAAAAAAAAAGACTGTACCCTTTTATGTAATGATGTTTACTTTGAATTTATATTAGTTCACACAAACACTCCATCCATGCTTTTGTTCCGGCCCTCCGGTCCAGTTTAAGAACCCATTGTGGCCCTCGAGTCAAAAAGTTTGCCCACCCCTGGAAGGGCATGTGGGAGGGTG